GTGTAGGACAAGAGTTTAAGCTTTCTATTTAAAGCTTACATAAATAAATAACATACAAATCAAAGTCATTTGTTCAGTCTAGGCTATTACAAGTGCTTATTAAAAATTTAAAACTCTATGCCATCGGTTCGTAAATCTACGGCGGGAGACCTCGTACCGATAAGAACCAACAAGAAAATATGAATAAATACTACAACATAATACATTGATCAAACTCCATAATGAGTAGCTAAGCCTCTGTATTATAAAGTACCACAACATCCACGACTAAGACAGTATATAATTAAAAGTTCATTTTCTACATTGACCCAACCGGGAATCGGACGCGGGATCTCAGAGATGGCGACACCTCGAAACCGACTTGTGAACTTCTCGGCAAGGCCAAGTCGCAGAAAACAATAAGATAAATGAAGTAATCTGGCTAAAGTACTCGTGTTTAGGAGACTCGGGTGTGAGCAGTGTCCTTTGTTACATTTTGATATAAGTTTTATTTGTCGCATTTGACGAAAAAGTCAGGGTTTTTTTTAAACAATAGCATACCTGAACAGATTTTCATCTTAAATAATTTGTTTATATATCTTGTCTTTATAAAATATAAACGTTGGTATTTGCGTACCTAATCTCTCCTTAATTACAAAAAACGATCTTTGTTACTTTGTTGTTAATTATTCTCGATAATTAATTGCTAGTTTTTGAAAATAGATTTACACAAATTTTGGTAACAACAATTAAATATACACGTCGGTAAAACTTTATAAAGACTAATAGCCAGTTGCCCAAACATCCATTAACGTTGTCATTGGTTTAAAGTGACATTACCGATACAAATTTGACGTTTATTAGAGCTTGAAAGCGTCATTAAATATTAATGGACGTTTGTGCAACAGATCGTTAGAGACTTTTTTGGCTAGGGGAGGCCGAGGGGTTCTGAAACAAACCTGATTTCTTAAAACTTAAAAACCGGCAATTGGTCGTTCTTCTAAAAATAGATATATTATAGATAACCATATTGAAATTCTTTGACAACAGCCATTTTGAGTAAAAAATGAAGACGAAGTCGTCCAAAATGTTCTTTGAACAATTCTCTGAATTTATTATTGTAACACCGACTACATGTATAATAATATTAAATCCAGCTATTGTTTATATTCACATAAATCTTGATAAAGCGTTTCAAACAATAGAGACTTTGAAACAGAAGCCTAATATAAACAATCATGGTGAAAAAGTGTTGAATGGTTTGATTAAGTTGTTTGTGGAATATTTTTTAACCGACTCTAAAGAGTTAAATTCATCTGTGATTTTTAATGTAGGTATGTAGAGAAGATTCCTTTTTTCAACAATTATATTGTCTTCAATCTTCAAAAAAGGAAAAAAATAACATATAACTTAAAAGCGTTTCAATTGTTTAAGAAACTTCTATTTAAGTCGGGCGGATGTTTTCTATAGGTTATCGTATAATGGCTGTCCGGCTTCAATAGAAGTTTATTTAAAATTTAAATTTTAAGATAAATGTTATATGTGATTGATGATGCACTTTACAAAAAAAATGGGTTCTATTTCGCCCATAAGCTGTCTAATATAAAAACAATATTGAAAATCGCTCAACAACTCACGGAAATGATCAAAATACATATCTGTCGAACATAGCGCCTCGTTCGTTGCGGTTTTGAAGTCGGGCATCAAGCTTCCGTGTTACCAACAGTAAAATTGTTTTTCTGCCGCGACACATAGTAATCAGCTTATTGATATATCCGCTGCTGAGGTGTAATGTCTTCATACACACGGTCACTTATGGAGGATGTGTCATGTGTCGTGTTAACACGAGTTCACAGTGCGGAACGGTGGGAGCTAACAACTGCAGATGTAGATACACGGAATATGCTAACCACTACGCCAACTAACTCCTTAGCTTATTATTAGATTTCGGGTGAATCTTTTCTCTAATACTACACTGTGATACCTTTGGTGGGCGGTAGGTATCGCGCCGATATGCGTTACCGTGTTCCGCGAGACGCGCCGCACTCCATTGAAATAAAAAGATAAATAATTTTAAAATTACCTCCTTAATAAATTATATAATTTAAAGAACCTCTAACATTACAAATATTCTACAGAAATGTCTTTGTTTAGCCAAGCCATAATACAACTAGTTACTTTTATTTTTAGTTCGATTTTTTTTTTTATTTGTTTTTATTCCTTTTAGTGACCAGTATTATTTTTAGGAAACCATCAACACCTTTAATTTGATAGCCTAATAGTTTTAACTAAAAATATATTATCTATAAATTCAAACATTTGCGGGGACGACTTGGACGAACAATCACGTACGATTCTCTAGAATCAGAGGCATGAAAGAACAATATGAATGTTGGTCAATCAGGTAGATCCAGTGTAAAGAATGCCTATAAATATAATCAGAAAACCAAACTATTCGATAATTATGACACTGAAGAGTTCATTCAATATTTTTTAAAAGTAATAAGACTTATATATCTTGAGTGCAATTAAAATTACTCTAAATCTCATCTTTACTATAGAATAACCCAAATATTTTTCCATTTTCATTATTAAAAAATCACATCATTACACAAAATATAAGAAATTTCCCATAGAGACATATTTTTTTCGATTAAGGATTCAAATAACTGCAGATTCACGAAAAAAATATTTCATATCTATTCATTACACAACGGAACCTTATTAAAACCCAACATGTCAACAAAAAATATAATTTATACCTATACGATTAAAAGATTTCGACAAAACATAAGAAATAAAATCGCATTTCGCATTGATAAATAACAAAATCATTATATCCATTACAATACCGTCAGGTCATTACAACACCATACGTTGAACTCACACATTGCTCCATCAATAGTAACGAGCTCACTTCTAGACACAACAGTGTCTAGTGGCATATGACCCTAAAGATATCAGAGTCAAAACACCATAACATCTTTAAAGTAATACACGCAAATTAGGCACTAAACGTATGCGAAATAGAGTTTGTTTCATATGTGATGTAGAGCTACGATTATAGGTTTAAGTCGGCACGTTTGAAGTCATCATAAAGGGTGCCGCGGCGATGTCCCTCGCCCACCTGACTGTTTGTGCACACGCATACAAAATGATATTGGGTGACACACGCGTTTTGGGTGTTTTGGTTTACATTTCGGACTATCGCTGTGACAGCTGAAAGTTCAATGCAAAACAAACATTCGTGCAATTACTACTAACCACAATGGATGTTTAAAGTGATATAGGAAAAATTTATAGGAATCTTATTTTAATGGCTTTTGTATTAACGCGTAACTTTGTTTATGTTTTTCTATTAAAGGAATTTCATAAATTCTCGTTTGACTGTGAAAATGCACTTAGATATGACGTGGAAATCTTATTTTCAATCGCAACTTATTTAGACGTTATTAATTTATATAAAACACGTGCACACTTAAATATCTTGATGCAATATACCTAAGACTACCGATACATTTCATAACCACAGCGACAATGGTAGATTCAAAAATTAGATTCGCTGAATATGTTTATAACCACTTATTTGTATATTAATATATTAAACTTTTTTACTACATAGTGCAAGGTTTATTTTTTAATTTTAATTATAAAGATTACACAAAAGTTTCATTCAATATCTGACTCTATATGTATAAACTCCTTGTATTTCATTGATATGAAATTACTTATTATAGGTTTATATACTAATTAGTACCTCTTTGTTATGATATATTATTATCATTTATCATTACAGGCAACATCAAACACGCTCTCATCACCAGAAACAAACAACCGATGCGAAAAAAACATTCTACTCTTTACTTACCAGACAACCGTGCGTATGGCGTATTCAAATTTCCCTAATTGCTTTTAAGTTTATTTTTATAAAAATACATGGATTTGGCAAGGCGCCATATGGTTTAGATAAGATCATACGGCTGGTTCAAGTACGGCAATGCTACCAAACGTAAAAAAATTGCGAGAAAGTAAAAAAAGCTTTATAGGTATTCAGGCTTGAAGATTGAAATCGTGTAGGTACTTTCGTCTAGGACTGGTTCACCCATTATTTTTAGGAAATAACTCTACATTATTAACTCTACATACTTATCTCCTCGTACCTATATAATTTAAAATTATGTAAAGTAATTTTGGTAACTTTATTAAAATTAATTTATACTTTGGTTTTGTAATCGAAAAAAGTAGTTTAATACAAAATATAGAGACATTAGAAATATAGATCTACTCACGCATTTTCTTTTTCTTTAATAAATTTAAATAATTAAATATACATGAAACCAATCTGATATGTTTGTTTAGTATTTATTGGTAATTTCTTGGAATTTATTTAATATGTATAGTTTATAAAAAATACCTATTACAAGTAACTACTTATGTTTTTGTAATTATTCTAAGTGTGGTATCAGTACCATGAGACCTTATTTGATTTTTTATGAACATAATTATCTGAATCAGCTTTCTCTTGCACTCACACGATATAATACTTGTAAGTAACTATACGTGTAATAATGAGTACCAAGAAAATTACAAAGAGCCCGAACAATGCTATCTGCTATACAAAGACTTGCCTACAAAACGAAATTACGAGACCAATTCGCTCACCTAATAGCTTCACTGGGGGACGCTGTGTCACCAAAAATTTGCATTGAGTTAGCCGAAACAACTCAATTTCTAAACGATATAAATACAATGTTAAGTAAAACGACAAAGTCGCAACAGTTAAAGGTGTAGAGATCAGATGGAACCGTATCACAATAAGCTTTGGATTGGTTGAAGCGATTCGCGATTGTCGCCGATCGATTCCGAAGGCAGTGCTCGGTAGGCCCCGCCTCTTGGGAGGCGCATTTGCTGCTTCGGGAGCTAACACAGGCGCCCAAGCGAAGCGGCGCTTTTGATCTCCCCCTCCCCGCGGCGCAAGCGCAAACCTCGATAGCGAACGCACACAGACTCATAACGCTCCGCGCGCTCTCTCAAGCCGGTTGTCAGTCCACAAACCGGTTTGGCAGTGACGACACAGTGTTGATACCAAAGTGCTGAGTACAGTGCCCTAGTGTTCATTGATTGGATTGTTTAGTGGAAATGGAAGACAAGCCTTATAGTGTTGACTCTTCGGATGATATTAACATAGAAGAGGAAGAAGAACAGATAGAAGATAATCACAGTAAGTTTTTATTTATTTTAACATTTTTATTACAGTTTTTTTATTTTATTAATAGTATAAATAAAATAAAGCTTGTGGGCTCGAATCCCATCTCAGAGTGCCAGGGACTAAGTGGATTTTTAAGCAATTTTCATTAAAAATATTTATCAGTAAGGCATTGTGAATGCAAAATTGATCAAATATAATATGTGTGAATGGGTTCAGATAATTAATTTTCTTTTTAATAAATATTTTTTTGGCTATATTATTAAATTTGCAATATAATACTCTACTTTGATACAAAACATTTGAAGTTTTAGTATAATCATCAATCCGTTCATTGTGCATACTTAATTTCAACTTGGACAATAAAAAGCACATTGGAAATTAATGCGAATTTTATGCATTATCGGATTAATTGATTAACAAAAACAATTAATTAACTAATTTGGTTTACTTTTTATTTCAATTGTATTTTATTTATTTCATTTTAAATATTTTTTTATTTTTATTTAACCATTATTAAAAAGTGACGTCTCATTTTTCTACAGGCTATCCACCAGACTTCCCCATAGAAGCGCTGGTGAAGCTCGAACGTCCCTCGCCACCTTTACCGACCCCACCGCATACGCCTACAGACGACACGCCTCCAGCGGTCGTTATATCAAGACACCAACCTGGGTGGACCCCGCCGCCACCACAAGCTTACCCTTACCCGAGGCCAGCCATGCAATCGTCCTACCCTTACGACAAAACCCCAGTACCTACCTACGCGCATCCAGCGATGTCCGCGTATATGCAAGCTCAAGTCGCCACTCTTCCACCTTCAGCCCCTTACCACGCGATGCTTGTCAATCAATGGATCAGAAACGCTGCTCTCTACCATCACTCCTTGAGATACCCCGGAGTTATATCCCAGAGAATGCCCGGGAGGAACCCTCCCCCGATGAGAGCACCAGGCGTGCCTGGCGCTAGACCCAAGAAACAATTCATTTGCAAATATTGCAATCGACAATTCACAAAATCATACAATCTCCTCATACACGAAAGAACGCACACGGATGAGAGGCCTTACTCCTGCGATATTTGCGGGAAAGCATTCAGAAGACAAGACCACCTGAGAGACCATAGGTAAATATATCACCTTAATTAGTTATATTTCATCTTTATTAACCCAAGTTTGTGATTTACCATTCGCTTCGATAGATTGAGTACTTTAGATACAACAGAACATTGAGTTGCTTTTACCAATCAATAATTATCTAAAAGACTTCAATTATAATTTAATGACCCCTTTCTAATATCAACAATGTGATTTAAGACGTGTTTCATCGAGGTTTTGTCGATGATAAGAGAGAAAAAAAATCAAAAGTGTAAACCTTTTTGTGAGGTCGCGAGGCGGCGGCCGCACGCGCTCCTCAACCGGTTTGGTTCTTTACGATCACCATATCTGTCTTGCTCCGCCGGCGAACAAATTACACGTTATATTTCTTCGCTTTTACGAGACAAACTTACTTTTTCTTCTGTCACATCGTGGCCTGTATATATTAACAATCTAATGTAAAAAAAGTATTGATTTTCATTCGGAATGGTCTTTCTAGTGTCTCGTTATCGAGTTGTAAAACTATTTAGTCATAGTAGTTAATGTGCATTACAAAATTCGTTTTCTAATCTGTCCCCTTTTATATTTCCAGGTATATTCACTCAAAAGAAAAACCGTTTAAGTGCACCGAATGCGGCAAAGGGTTCTGTCAGTCGCGGACATTGGCGGTGCACAAAATCCTACACATGGAAGAATCCCCCCACAAGTGTCCTGTCTGCAACAAAAGTTTCAACCAAAGATCAAATCTCAAGACACATTTGTTGACGCATAGTGACGTCAGCAAACATCATTTGGATCATCTCGAAGGGTGCCAAGAGGTATCGTCTACGAGTCAAGTTTCAGATAACTCTTTATTAGATCTATCACACAAACCTTCATCTCCTCCAGCGCCACAACATCAGCAGATTCTAGCAAGTCCTCACCAATCACCTGTAGAAACACCAAAAAGAACGTTAGGTTTCTCAATAGAAGATATAATGAAACGTTAGATTAATTAACTATAATAAGTATCTAACTTCGTATCTTTTTGTAAATAATTATTTAATTTTTCCACTTATTTTGTTAGCAAATTGAATGTAATCAACTATTGTAATTATGTAACTTACAACATCGGAGACTAATTAATTTGTAATTTGCCAAAGAATTATCTCATCGACTGATATCACGAGTATTAAGGATTTCTTTTTTTTTAATTACATTATTTTTTTCTTCGTTTGTCGCATTTCACACTTTTTTCCAAAATTGTACTATATGTACAACTATTTATTAAATGAGGCTTATTTCAACTTGACGATCTTTATCACGACTAAAAAGACTGAAGTATTGTTTTCTAATTATTATTGTTATGTTTTGCTAGAGATTTATTTATTGTGATAGCTTTCTATGTTTAATAGATCATGTTAGTGGTTAATTGAAGTTACCTAAAAGTATTACCATTTCAATCCAAATTTTATGAGGACATGTTCAAATCGGAATAGACGTACCTTATTTATGATTAAGTAAATTAGTACAATTTGATATAGCTAGTTGTAATTCTCTTGTGTACATATATGTAAATATGTATAAGTCAATAGAATGTAAGTTCCCGAGGCTATTTAAAGATAAATATATAAAGAAAATGATATAAATGAACATTAAGAACTTGTTTTATTTTATTACATTTAGCTTTGGTAGCTTTGGAAAAAGTTATAATAATGAAGTGAAGATTTTTCTTTATTCAATTGTTTTCATTTGCCCAAAAATTTAAACTAAAATGACACGGGGAAACATACTGCAAACAAATGAACACATTTTAATATTCAAGTATAAGTAGTTATTGACTTTCATGGAATGCAAGCTTATGGAATATTACAATGTGCATATTTGGTAATTAAAAGGGTTTCTGATTGGACAGTATTGATTCTAATAGATTATCCAGAAAACGTATTGAAAAACTACACGCATTTCATAGTTTCCTTTTTACTTCAATAGCTGTTTCTTGGTATGTCCCCTGGGAATGGCTGGAATGATTTGCGTTACCCGGTAATATTACAGAAATAAATACTTCGTATTTCCTTGTCTAATCATTAAACGATTATATGGTATAAAAAATTATCATATAATGCTATATATAATAATAATGAGTACCTAACGTAACATTTATTTTTATTTTAAACTTCCCAAAGACATAATCCGAGCACTGGCTATATACCTACATAAATGTTCAAATGCTAAAAGTTTTGAAAAAACAAAAAAAAAGCTTAAAAAGGAAAAATTGTTAAAAGGGAAGCTGATTTTCTTTTATATTATTTAGTAGTATATTTATTTTCTCTTTAAATTTTTTCACAATATATAATACAGATACATAAATATATCCAATATCCATTTCTTCAAACGACTATGGCGACTTCTGCGTGACGAAGACCGAATTCTTATTTTTTTTCGACCATAGGAGTTAATTATAGGATCTCATCCATAGGTATGCCATTTGTTACCTATGAAATCACCGAGATATTCTAAAAAAAGAAATATCTTTACCCCTTTTTTTTATTTAGTTGAAAACAAAAAAGTATCGTTTCTATTACAAAGATAAATAAGGTTATTTCATTACGTGCGTTGTCTGTATTGCATGTTTACCTATCAATGCGATTAGAGAGTGACCTACAGACAAAATATTATGGCAACATAGTTCGTGCTATACCAAACACAATCATTATGGGGATAACGCAATAGACAAAATTAATTATAATTGTAGGTTGCTCGCCGGCAAACAATTTTGGAGAAATTATGGGTTCGTCGTAGAAACGTTTAAAATTATTTTGTGTATTTATAAAATGGTTTTTTCTTTCCTTTCTGTATAAACAGATATAATAATGATTTAACAGCGGTGTATAAATATTTAATACTTTAGTTATCAATAAAAAATATAAACATATACAGCGTTATTAATAAACAAGGTTTAGCGTCAGAGTAATTAGTCCAAATTTATATTATACAGTCAATAAACAAACCTTAGCAAAGGGACTTAGTAAAGGTTTGCTAACAATTACTAATAAATAACAAGAAGTTTTATGATCAATTTTAAACTTTTGTAAAATTGATCATAAAGCTACTTGCTCTATGATAATTTTACTAATAAATATAATTATAAATATAATTAAATATAATATATCAAAGACTGAAGAAATTCTAAGTGTTTTCTGCTATGAGGTACGTAGCGCCATCTAGTAGCATATCATTGAACTGTAAAATGTCTCCTGTCACAACGCGATGTCGCTACTCGTATCGTAAAGTACCCTTTTATGCTCTACAACAGGCTCTACATAATGCAAATCACTTCTTTTCCGAACATTTTGCTTCATAATATTCTCGATTTTTCATTTTTAATTAATAAAGTTAAATAAGTGTAACACAGTGCGTAATTTATAGATATTTTATAATTGTATATTTACTTAATATTATAATATATTATAATAGGTCTTTATATTTTATAATGAACTTGAAGTTCTACCGTACTGGCCATTTCAAATCAAAATATTTTGTTGTGGCTGATAATTCTAATTTTTAAATAAATTTTATTTTAAAAACATGGATTTATTTTTTCTAAAATCGTCATTTGTTTATTAGTAAGTGTTTTATTTTCAACGAATTCGAACATTTTTCGTCGTCATGGATGAGTTAAAAATTCAAGTGATTATGGAGTATAAGTACCGTCGTGGCAGCAAAGCGGCACAAGCGGTACACAACATCAACGACGTTTACGGAGCTAACACTACAAACGAATGCTCTGCAGACATTTCTACTTTTTCCTAAATTTAGATAACTTCTTGGCGGTATTTTTTTAAGAATTTGTTGCCTCCCGTCCAGCTGATTTCTTCAAGAAGGACATCAATAAGCTACCAGTGCGTTGGCAAAGTTGCATTGATTTCGTGGGTGATTACTTTGATTAATAGAAATTAAAAAAAAAACGCTTCGTTTATTTCATGAAAAATAGCAATTTCATAGGTAAAGACCTAATCAAAAGAAACCTTACAGAAATCAATCGTTTTATCTACCTTTAGATTCACATCGTCATCAGCACTATTAATATCCCCAAAGCTGGGGCTCAGGCCTTGGATGAAATTGGATAGGGGGAATAGGCCATGCATGACCCACCAAGCAGGCCCAATCATGACCCACCAAGTGGGTGTTAACAACTGCAGATGCAGCCGGGGCTAACGCCTTAATATGCACTCTAAAGCACGGTAGAGTTTGAGACAGTAAAATTTTGGTCACCTATCCTATGCCCGGCCGTCCTCAAATTTGCTTAACAACCCGCCACTTAACTCTTCTTAGATTGACATATCATAGTAAAATAGGTATTCATAAAACATTTATTCGTTTTTTGTGCAAATAGTTTTGGAATCGGAACAGCAATTTAGAACCCAAATTCGAATAACTATTTTGTGTATTAGATAATCGTAGGCATTAAATCAGACATAAAAATTAGTCCGAAACCTGAGAAAATCTTCGTCTTCGATGCCGAATTCTTTGTAACTGATTGATGTTTGAAGTTTAACAGCAATTTGGCAGTCAATGAAAATTGCAACGATTCCGTTTGATTACATCTCTAATCGTTTTGTACCGCGGACTCACTCGCAAATCTGTCGAATTCCCAACACTATTTTCCTTTTAACCTTTCCGAATATTCCCGATATTCTTTTATTTTTCCTTTTGTTCCAATTAAAAGCAATTCTCGGAGAATTAAAGTTGAATTTGGACGAGCATAAGGTCATATTTCAAGTTATTCTGACTGTCAGCCACCTTGCCCTCTCAAATTGTGATGATTTATATATGAAACGATTTGATTTATCGATATTAATTCAGGCAGTTCTATTCAATCAGCTATGATCGATACAGTTAATTGGTAGGTTAGATCTAGTTTATATCTTTTGTTTTGTAAAATAAAAAAATACACGTCGAAGATTGTAGCAGGTACCTGTCAGATAGATATAGGATAAATAAAATCTATTTTTTTATTATAAGGAATTGTTATAACAATTATTTTAAAATATGCTTGATCTTACTTTTGATTCATTTATGTAGTGTTGTGAAGTGTTGCCGTGATTGCGGAGTTGTAGCTATTTGGAATAAGAATGTGCAAATTATAATTTAATTCAAGTAACATTTAACGGAGGGGTGGATAACAAATGGAACACTAATAAATACAAAAGAAGTAACCTAACCTAATTATTATTAAAAACATGATTAATTATATGGTAATTTGTTTTGTTTTAACACAAAACGATCAAGGTACTTCCATGTCAATTCTCCTGTTCCATTGAACATTATTTAAAGCAGTATCGATATCAATAGCAGCATTAATGTTTTATAATAAAACCTATTTCAAAAGGTAATTACCGTTTTCTTTTTGTTCAACTTCTAATCCTGTGACAGAGCGTTATGTTCGACGCTAAATTTTTAACTAAAATCACAAAGCTGATACACAAGGAGTTTTTGGTCAGATGTCACAATAGCTCTTTTCTTATCTATTTAAACAAAACTGTTTTTTTTGGTTCAAAAAGTTTTTATGTTCTTAAATGACACTCTTATTTTGAAAGCTAAATATTTGGTAAGTATGTATGATTTTGCTGTGCGTAATCATTCGTGTACCTCTGAAGTTTAAATAGCATTTAAGTATACAAGGCAAAAAATTATACCAATAATAATTAAAAATTATATGTTCGAAAAATTGTTTATTAATATTAAATTGTATTTAAAAGTTTTAATTACCTTATATGCCTATATTAAAGTAGCAATTTATGGAAATCCACAGGCAACGTGACAAATAGTCAGTTGCTATTAGGGTTAAATCTTGTTACCATAAAGATTTTGCTAGTTCAAACACGAATCACTATTATAAAAAAGAACATACCTAATTAAGTTTCGAGTAATAAAAACTACGATAGCGTGATAGTAACAATAGTTTTATTTAATGAAGATTGCATTTTGCCGACGGCACAAAACGTAACGACCCCCTGAAGTAGCGGACACAAGAAACTTTGAAGCATTATTTCGAGATTTATTACTACTTAGACGATATAATTGTGTTCTATACTGATTATTTTGATTGTGATTTATGTTATAGCTTAGAGCGATTTCTACTGATTTCAAACGAAAACCTTATTTTTTTTTGAGATGGATAACATGATTTATAACCGAAAAGGTGTTTTGTGCTGTATCGAAGGAATAGCGATGTGATATGCTTACTTTTTCCATTGTTAAAATACAGTTATCGTATGACTGGTAGCCAAGATAACTTTAGGCTATGTCACTTTCTTGCCGAAATATGGCGACTACTCTTACTAATTAAGCTAATAATTTTTATTTATTCATTGTAAAATGCAGTTTACATAATTGTTTGTTAATCTAACTATTTATCTATATTTTCATGAAACTTTTAAGAGAGATATAATAAAAGTTGCATGTATATATTTTTATTGGAAATAGTTCATGCATAATAGCAATTTGAAAAGGACAATTATATCTGAACACATTATTTATATTATAAAATAAATTATATGTTAATTATTTTTTAGTTTATCAAATATTTATGAAATTCTGATAAAACGTCAATTCAGATGTAAATGTTAAATAATATTAATCAACATTATGTAATTACTATAAGTTTGTTGATATTTTTCTTAAAAAGATTAATTGGCAAAGCTTCTAATATCATTC